ACACACACACACACACACACACACACACACACACACACACACACACATTTTACAACCACAGAGGTAGTGGGTGTTTTAGAATCAGAATCAGAATCAGAACCATTTATTGCCAAGGTATGTTGCACATTCAAGGAATTTGACATGATGGGTGGTGCATAACATTAATCAATCAACAACAATCAACACAGTGCAAAAAGTAGAAACATATTAAAATGTAGTGTGTAAATGTGCATATTTTTCTTTGTTGACTTACACTGTAACTTCCAAAATAGCACATACTCCTACACACTGTCTATTCAAAAAACTGTGCCTTGCCTGCACATTTTTTAAATGCAGCCTAAATGAAACATCAAATTCGTACTTGGTTTTGATTGGAGACCTGCAGAGGGTGTCTCTGGTGGTAAAGAATAAAGAGAGCGAGTGAACAGCCTACACTGCAGTTTGTTTTCAATTTCTAAGGAGAATATGTAAGCGCTGTGTTTTGCTAAACCTCTGAATAATAGTTTTCCCCACGGACACTCAATCCCGACATGACTGACAGCTGTAACGTCTCTCGGGTATCATCGATCCGATCTAAAAAAAATCTGTTCGACTTTTTTTGCTGCCAGTCTTTCAGGGAAGAAGACTGGCTCATAAAGGGGATGAATGAATACATGTTTTGAGGATATCACTTCTCTGAGAAGCTCGGCTGCACCGCATCACCCCGTCATCCACTCATCCAACTCTTGTTCTCTTGCATTTCAGTGTTTCATTTGGTCCCCACAGCAGCTTTCACCATGACAACATTTGACTTCTCGGATATAGAGGCATTTTTGGACTGCCACCCAGACCTCTTCGAGGAATATCTCGTTCGAAAGGCGAAATGTGATCAGGTTAGCAGATGGTTGAAGGAGCACCAGCCGTTGAAAGTGTCCACAGTCGAGGAGAAGCGTGGCGCTACTGCCAGGGACCCGCTCTGGACGACCAACCCGGACGGGCTCCGGCGCAGATCGTCCCACATGGAGCTGCGACGGAACTTCGCCCGGTCCAAAGCCACCACCGCATACCGGACCTACGACGAGCATGTGAGTCTGATCGAACACGAGTCCCAGTCCAGCATGAGGCGCCGTGCGCTCCTGCGTAAAGCCAGCTCCCTGCCTCCGACCACCGCGCACATCCTGAGCGCCCTGCTGGAGTCCAGGGTCAACGTGCCCCAGTACGCTTCCAGCGCCATCGACTACAAATACAGACTTAAGGAAACCAACGAGAGGGAGTTTTTCTTGGAGTTAGTGAAAGATATCTCCAATGATTTGGACCTGACAAACCTCAGTTACAAGATCCTGATCAATGTGTGTATCCTGGTGGATGCAGACAGGTGCTCGCTTTTCCTTGTGGAGGGACCCGCGCACAAGAGGACACTGGTGTCCAAATTATTTGACGTTCACTCTGGCACCACTGTCAGGCCATCATCCAGCACCCTTAACTCCAATGAAGTGCAGGTGCCATGGGGGAAGGGTATCATTGGATATGTGGCAGAGCATGGGGAGACTGTAAACATCCCAAACGCATATGAGGTGAGCCTGGTGTATATGATGAATACATTATTAAACTTAGACTTTTTATTAATTAATGCAGATATATTTACAGTAAGTAAAGCTAATAATTAATGATGTGGGGATCAGATGTTTTCACTATTGGGAGAAAACATTGATACAATATCCACATATGTCCAAACAGAATGGAAGACATTTAAATCAGTTGTTCCTTAAGCAGAACTCTGAGTTGAGCAAGGGAACGCTCAAATCAAAGAAATGGAGAAAGACTCGAATTACTTAAATTATGTCAGAATAAAAAAACGTATCTCTATAATATACAAAGAAGAAGGCAATCACGTGTTATAATTCTTCCCACAAGCCAGATCTCTACCACATCATTATATCATGGCCCTGGGCTGCATGGGAAGCTATATGGCAACATGATTTTGTCGATTCCCCTGAGGTCTATTATTGCAATAGTTTAGATATGTGTAAGGGGCATCATAGTTTTTTTCTGCTTATAGTAAAAATAAGAAGCTTCCTGCAGAGCCTGAATTTAATTAGCCAAACAATTGCGCCTGGGCTGCTTTATTTCATGACAAAAGCGCATAAACCCCAAATATTTGAAGCAATATTGTCATACTGTGAGTACAACGTAAAATGTGCTGGTTTCTACTGGGCACAGTGAAGTTACAGGCTATATGTGTGTTAATCATGCACGTTTGATATATGTGTAACATGTGTTTATGTGACCACTATTGCAGGACCACCGCTTCAGTGATGAGATAGACAAGTTAACGGGCTACAAGACTCAGTCCATCCTCTGTATGGCCATCTGTAACAGTGATGGGGAAGTCATAGGTGTTGTACAAGCAATCAGCAAAAATCCCATGGGCATTCCCTTTACTGAGGATGATGAGAAGGTGAGCCTTTTATTATGTCCCAGATCCATGTTACCAGGGGATTTTCCCATTCACAGGCATTTTATCCACTATTTAATATCTTCAGTATTATTGTAGTTGGTTTGACCATTAAGGGCATTTCAGAGATGTAGTTTAAATTGGATACTTGTGGAACACACACACACACACACACACACACACACACACACACACACACACA